CCCCTAACCCGGTCTGAAGATGAACTTTGGACTCGCTCCTCACATATAGAAAATATATTTTCCTTTCTTGCCTCATCATGTCCCTACCCTCTCTCTCTTTCTCCCTTCCATGCTTTCTCTCTCTCTTTTTTTTGCATTTCATTTTTTTACTGGTAACTGCTGCTGTTGTATTTTATGAGAGTGGGGGATTTTTTTTACCTGGGTTTCTGTAGAGAAAGGGGGACAAAGTATTAAATTTGAACTGCTGAAAACCATTGCTACCTCCGCATCTGCTGTGGTCTTAATCCTGTGCCGTGTCTGACATGTTACTAAAAAGGTTGACCTTTTCTTTCCTTTTCTGACATCAAATGTATATATTAAGATGGTCCTGTACGTGAAGTATGCATAGCTTCTTTTGGGGCATTCAGTTGTCTAATTGGATAACTTCAGATCAGCCACCTCATGTTGAAATCAGATTAATTTTGAATTGAATACAGTATGCCTTGGTGTTGCCCTTGCCTTAATATATATTAAGTGTTTGAATCTGGATTATCAGATTCCATTTATGACATATTTGATTGCATTTGCATTTGTCTCACAGCTTTCTGTAATCAAATTAATTCAAATCCAGATTCGTCAATACCTTCTTGCAGGTAAAAATTTCTGATATGGTAGTCATCTCGAAAATGAGATTTGGCTTTTGCTTGTCTCTATTGGAAAAATTAAGATGGAAAATAAGGGCATTGTTTTCATTCATTTATTCATAATGCCTTGTGGATAAATTCTAAAGACTAGTTCCCGAAGGATCTGTGAAAAAATGACCTTTTTAAACAGACCAAACATTTTGACAAATTATTCACATTACAGGCTGAGGATAAATGATGTATTTTAAGGCATTGAATGCCGAGGAGGGAAACAAAACATCCTGATAATTGAAACGTTGAAATTTCTTATCAGTGTAGTATAAAGGGCCTGGGAGTTGGGTACATGAGTGATTCAGAATGTACATTCAAGTGATTTGTCAGCAAAATATATTTAATAAATGTCTCAGATATTCATAGGGATGCATTAGCAAAGGTGAACTGAGGTAAAGGATGATGTTATCTGAGGTGTGCCTGGGAGCCTGGTTTACTGCGTTGTCTGGATTGACGGAATAAAACCTCCAGCGGCTCTTCTTACATCTGTCCAGGTTCAGGCAGTGCCACGGTCTCTGCAAAGTTACCTCAGTGACCTTGCTGGTGTGTAATGGTTGTGTGTAACTATCATGCCATTTTTGATTATGCCTCTCCTTAGTCAGTTGCATTTATTTTAATCACGCACGGCCATTGTAAAATATGCATGTTTGAGTGGATATGTGCTCAAATAACCCAGACCTCTTCTCAGATATTTAATTAGACCATATAATCACAGTGCTATAGCAACGCTGAATCTTCATTATATTATTTACTTTTAGCCACAACTTCGGTTGCTGTTTTTTATGGAGCAGGATTTAAAAAGATAAATTTTATTTTAATCACATTTAGCATGTTGAAATAGCCAACATCCTGCAGCATCTCAAAGCAAAGCTATGCGGATGATTGATTTTGCCTTAGTGTATTCCTCTTCAGGATAGCAACAGCATCTTCATCCATTTGCCTTTTTGTTTGGGGGAGTCACCGGGGAAGCCTTGGTAGCACGGTAAGCCAATCAATAAAAGGCAAAGCGGCGAAGCCACGCCTCCTTAGACAAAATCCGTCCAATCAGCGTGTTTTTTAAATGCATGGGCGTTCCCATCCCCCACCCACCCTTTTGACACTGCCCTACCGAAGCTGTGTGGTTGAGCGAAGTGAATGACGTCTCTGAATTTGCGGGCCGCCGACGCAGGGCTGGGTTTCCATTTTCATAGCGAGTTTCGGGGGGGATCGTCAACATGGAGCCGGAGATGGAGGACAAAACGGTGGAACTGATGGTAAGATGTGTTTGGATATGGCATTCTCAACATCCGAATGGATCACCATCGGTGTTTTATTGGGAAAAGCGCCGAGGCTCGATTCGACGGCAGGAATGGTCTGAAGCGGCTTGTCGGGAGAGGTGGAGGAGAAAGGAGGGGGGACCAGAAATCAGAGGGAGGGCCTGAAATTATCGATACATTTTGCTAAGAATGCTTCGCTTACGAGTCGGATCGACAAACAAGACGTAGACATCATCATCTGATAAATGTAAATATGTGTTGTTTTGGGTGGAATCCGTCAGTTACGGGAAAATTAATAGGTTGATGTGGAGTCGTCAGCCGAAGACAGCCGAGGATTCTTGGGGTAGCGTTCACTGCGGTGACGCTGCGCCACTTTAACTGGGCCCTGTCTGATACACTGCTAGCCATCCTGCTAACACTGGCTACGAGGCTTTGAACCACGTAAATTTACGGGCAACGCTATGTTATATTTTGTACTTAATGGGAAGACAACCTACACGGTAGTATATATGTGGGGCAGTCTAATGAATTTCATAGTAAAACGGGATGTAACTAAAATTACAACATCGTTTTGCTTCTCTGTTTATATTTTTAAGTGCGTAGAAGGAAGTGTATTGCCTTTTCATTCACAGCGTTACCACGATTAGCGAGCATTAGCAATTAGCTTAATAGCTAGCATGCTAAATATGCTATGTATACTTGACAGCCATTTCCGTAGCAAAACAGACAATTGGTTAGGCCAGTAGTAACCCAAAACATAAACTGTGATTATATATATTTTTTTCCTGTCGAGACGGTCAGATTTAGTAAATACATAACAGCTTTTCTTATTCGATGATCGATAAGCTAGCCAGTTAGCCTAACGTTAGCTTACAAATAGCTACCATTAACATTACAGGGGTCAAAGTGGTCGTAAAGAAGACGTCAATTAAGATAAGGCAGAGATGTGTTTTGTGGGTGAACTTACACATCTCAAGAAGTACAATTTGAAGCTGTCCTGTATATTTTATGCTACATGTCTAGAACACCGCACAGCCCTCAGTTTCTCGTACAACCAAACCAAGTGTTTCTACAATTGGTAGATGGCAAGGTAGGCCCAGAAAATAATATCTTGGGATGATTTAGTTGATTGTATGGACGAATCCTATTATGTTGAACGCAAATATGCCTGAGTGAGCAGCTCATACTTACTTTGGGTAAAGTGTCATATACTTAAGCGCTGTAGACCATGAATAGCCATTATTGAGGATAATAGTAGTATAATACTTGTATACTGAGTATACAAATATTCATGGAATCACCCAGTAAAATATACTCTCACCAGACTTTACTACGGAGTTTAAAAGTTTTTCAGAGTTTAACAGCAATTTGAATCACCATGTGAAAGCCAGAAAATAAACAAAATTATTTGATCATTTTAGCTTATATTGATCTTTTCATTGAAATAACTAATTATTACTCAAAACAGAACGTGTCTGAGCGCTTACACAGCTACAGCATAAGAAAACCACACTGAAAACTGTTAACTGTGAAATTAATTTATCTGACAAGTGTTTTTATGTCATGGATATACATTCCATACCTCAGTTTCTTTCCCTTTAACTTACACAAAAGTAAGATCACACAATAATACTTAAATTTTATACACTTGCAGAGTGTCGGACCAAAGTGATGTAGGCTCACAGAAACTGTTGAACTTTGTCTGGGTTGTGTCTGTGTATTTACTTTGATTTTACTTTTTTGTCCCAGTGTTATTCACTAACCACTCATGAGAGTGGGGATGGCAGAACAGTGGGTGGGGTTTCTGTCAAAAACAAGAGTGACAAAAATTGACAATTAATCCCGTTGCCCCTCCCTCTCCTCTACCTATCCCCACCCAGTTCATGTCTAATAATGCTTCTGTGTGTATGTTTATCAGTCTGTATCTTGTGTGTGAAGGAGTGTGTGTTCCTGCGCTCACTGTGCCAATGTGTGTAGCTCTAATACTGGTTTTTCCCCTCACTATTCCCCACCTCCTCCCTCCTTCTTCCTCTCCTCACTTTTGATGGTTACACACTCACCCCCCTCTTAATTTCCAACCAAACCTTGTTCATTTACCCATTATTTTTGTGTTCTCTCACATACCCACACTATACACTTGTCCCGTTCCCTTACCAACTCCTCATCACTTCAACCCATCTGTCCATTCATTGACCCATCCATTCCCTCATCTCTTTTGGTTTCCTCCTCCCAACTTCCCTCATCAACCCCTCTCCTCTTTTTCTTTACCTCTCATCTCTGGTCTCTCGCTCTTCCCTTTCTCTTCCTCCCTCACCCTGTCCACTTCGTTCTCCTCCTCCCTTCCTCCCTTCCTCTCTCTCTTTCACACAGTGCTCTGTGCCTCGCTCTCTCTGGCTGGGCTGCTCCTCGGTGGCTGAGAGTTTGTGTGCACTCAGGTGCCTGCAGAGCATCCCCTCCACCCGGGCTCACAACCAGGTTCTGCCTCTCTCCTCTTAATTCTGCTGCTCCTCCTCCTCTCCCTTCCTCCCTCGTCATCTCCTCACCCTTCACTTTTCTTCACCCACTCCACACGACTCCTCATACCACCTTGGTGCAGACTGCACCCACCCACCCCCTCACCCTCCTACCTCCTCACCTTCCGTTGTCCTTTCCTCCCTGTTGGAAGCACTCTGCTCTCAGGTTCTTCTCTGGTGCATCCTCAAACTTTCTCTGCTTGAAAAAGAGTTTTTGCTGTTAAAAAAAAAAAAAAAATCCTAGGACTTCTTTCTGATTATGTCAAATCACAATTCCTATAACACTTATAAAGTTCAAGTTGTCAGTAATTGTGGCCTACCATGAAAACTGGACATGTTTTTACAGTCACAGAAGTTTGAATAGTATAGTTTTTCCTTATTACTTTGCTGTGAGCGGAGGAAGGATGCAGGTGTACCAGAGAATAACCATGCATTGAGGAGTAATGTTTTCTCCCCTTCTACCTGGAGGTGTGAGGGCCGAGGTGGGGGGTCTTCCTTCAAGCTCTGAGAGGCTACATGCTTGCTTGCCTGCCTGCCTGGCCAAACCTGGTCTGTCTGTTTTTATTTCTCCTTACTTCTCTTCTTCTGCTCTGCATGTTCATCAACACCAGCAAAGACCATTCTGGCTTCTTGTCCTGTCTGCTTTGGTCTTGGTACTTGGACCTGTTGTTTGTGTGGTTGTGTTGATGGCAACCACTGATATTCTCTATTGGTTTTGCTCAATGTCCACATGGAGCTGCAACACTGAGATAGGATAGATAACTACAGCACACCTTAAACAGTTCTTACCTTATGCTCCAAATTTGAAAGGGTTCTGGGTTTCACTTTGAAAACAATATCGCGATAATTCAGTAATGCTCCTTTTAAGATAGGCCCCAGTCAGAGACTGCCAAAGGCAACTCTTCCACCTCAACAGAAGCACTAACAGATGGACCATTACAATATATAAACAAACAAGACTCTATCGTAGCTTTTTCACCATCATAGCTATTTTCAGATGCTGACCTTGGCTCAGTCATCACCTCCACGTGATATACAATAGCATTGACCCTCTCCCAGGTAAAATCCTTGTGTATCCCACTTCGTCATATTTGTTTGTGGACATATAGAGGAACAAGAAACTATTCAAAAATTTGGAGTGAACCTGCAGGTGCATTGGTGGTTTTTAGATGGAGCTGTGCTCTGCCAGGGTTGTTCTTTCTGTTAATGGTATTAATTTGCGGAATATGCAGTGTATGCTTCAAAGAGTCTACATAGAACAGGGTTATGGTAGTTTGATGACAATATTAATTTACAGAAACATGATGGTTCAAGATGCCTTCTCAACAACAGTATCTTCAGTCACAAGTGAAACCAGTAAACAGCAGGTACAGCTGATTTTCTTGTTGGTGTTGTTTGACTGTAATGATGAATGTAAGTTCATGATATTATTGTCTGACTGTCTATGGCCTCCAAAGAAGTTTACATGCACCAGAGAACCTTATTTTTTACCAAGTAATTTAGATAAAATTGCTAGATGATGATAAATTATATGTTTTAGTGTGCTTCATGCTGCATCAGTTAATGATTTGTGTTGCAACCCTGCTGTTGTTGAAATAATTGAAGTCTCTATAGCGTGTTTACAGTCTACTTTCAATTTACTCAAACCATTGTGAGACTTAAGACATGCTAGAAATGGATGGGATCCGGTTACCTGTTTTTTGTTTTTTTGTTTTTGTTTCGTCTGTATATTCTGTAAGACCACTATCTGTTTCATTACAGTCATGCCTGAGCTGGGGCCAGTGACATAACCAAGATTTTGCACTTTAATTTCCTGTTCAGCCTACTTAGCCCACATCACAGACAAGCAAGCAGATAGATTCCTTTTGTTGCAGTGCTCAGTTTATTTCACTCCATATGTGTGTGTATGCACGGCTGTTTGTGCGTGCACGCCTCAGAAGTCTTGATGGTTACCCTTCCTTTGGCTGTGTTTGTGGCACTCTTGCGTCAAGCGCTATCCACACTGCTGCCCTGGCTCTCACAGTGCCTTTAACACAGACTCAGTCGGAATGAAACACTAACCTGCATTTTCTTTTTGTTTTGTTCTTTGTCCACAGAACACATCAGGGATGGAGTCACAGAACCTCGTGGACGATCTGTCGCCAAAGAAGAATACAGTTCTCAAGGTGTGTATTTATTTTAGTTTATAGTACTTCAAGTGTGTGTGGAATTTTCTATGACTTGTTTCTCCCATATACAACTTAATATGGAGGTAACAATCTTTGTTGACTTCATAAATCATAAACATTTGAAGAGAATACAGTTGTAACTATGTTAAAATGGAGCGTTTTGGGTTCACAACTTACTGGGACATCAGACGTTTTTATGGTTATTGAAGTAAAAACTCAACACTGATGTTGACAAATGTTGATGTGAACATTTATTTTAAAGTGTTTTCTTCTATTCCCACACATACACCCTCACTACTGCGGGCTTATAGTCGTGTAACAAACTTTATTGCTTAGCAATCAAAATTGATTTTTAACTTTCTGCAACAAAAAAAGGCTCCTGTCAGTTCTATACAGGGGCTGCTATAAAGCACAATTCAGCAACTTTGAGCTTCAGTCCCCTGTTTTAATTACCACATGCTTTCAGTAAACAGGAAAAAGATATTCCAATGATTAGAAGTAATGTAATGTTATGTGTTGTAATGTAATGTTATATTACCTTCGTAAGTACAATGAGTTTAAGTTATATTTTATACAATCTAAAATGAACGCAAAGCCGTGGCATTAACTATGTGTTGACAAATTTGAAGCGTATTCAGCCTCTCCATTGGTGATGTCACCGTCCCGTGTTTTCTGTTTATATAGAAATAATGTTCTATTTTGATATTCGGCTGATTTGGGTTCCTGTGTAGTACGCAGAGACGTAAAGAATTATCTCGGATGACTTGCTTCATTAACATGTCTCAAAATACTTACAATCTAACAAAAGTAAGCATTTATTAAATCTGCATGTTACTGATGTTTACAGCTTAGTAATGGCCCTGTTGTGGGGTCTCGCAAGCGTCCGTCAGAAGGGCACTATGAGAAGGAGAAGGAACACTGCATCGCCCTGTTTGACCAGTGGTCGGAGGCAGACCAGGTGGAGTTTGTCGAGCGCCTGATTTCCCGTATGTGCCACTACCAGCACGGCCACATCAACTCCTACCTCAAACCCATGCTGCAGAGGGACTTCATCACTGCGCTGCCAGGTAAAAACACACATTATTGTAAATGCAGCTGTTAGTAGCAATGACTCCGGTGTAATGTCATCTTCCTTATCTGCAATTTCGCTGAATACAGTTGGGCAAATCATCACAGCTGTTCTTTCAACCTTTTATTCATTTCTCTGATAAATGCTCTGATTGTTTTAAAGAAAAAAATATGCAGCCATAACTTGTTTTCTGCTACATGAAGACTATTATCGTAATTAGAGTAAATTCTTATAATGAACACAGCAACAGAAAACAAACTACAGGAAGTTGGTGGCACAAATTGGATTCCTAAAATGTTTACCCCGGTTTCTGTGTTATTCATTTTCTTAATTATACCCCTTTGATTTTTTTAAACGAGGAAATCAATTCCAGTAAATTAACAGGTTATCTTCGGGGGGGGAAGAAAATAATCAGCTGTATGCACGTATAAACTGACAAGGTGAGATCTCTTAATTTAGTTTCACACAGTTACCTCCTTCTCTCTTGTTCTTTAGCCCAAGGCTTGGATCACATAGCAGAGAACATCCTGTCTTTCCTGGATGCACGCTCGCTCTGCTCAGCAGAGTTGGTGTGTAAGGAATGGCAGAGGGTCATTTCTGAGGGAATGCTGTGGAAGAAGCTCATTGAACGCATGGTCCGGACTGACCCCCTCTGGAAAGGCCTGTCGGAGAGACACCAGTGGTGAGATTAGTGCACACACACTCACACAGAGTGGTTTTCTTTGAGATGTAAGAAAGACAGACACTCGAAGAAATGAAGTGGATGTTAGTTGAGTAAATGGGGTAAAATGTTTGCTTTTAGTTTGCTTGTTGAATCTGTAGTTAATTTTGGATAAAGCAACGCCTGAGAGGGTGAAAGTAAGGTTATACCTGGTTGGTCTTCAGTGTCTGTTGTAGGTAAGAGAAATCCGAGTGGACACAAAGCAACTGCCATTCCTGTACTTTTCTTCCCCCAGGGAGAAATATCTGTTCAAGAACCGCACATCAGAAGTCCCCCCCAACTCCTACTATCACTCCCTATATCCCAAGATCATCCAAGACATAGAGGTAAGACACAACAGCTAAATAATTTGTAGTATTAACTGAATGGATATTTTCTTGTAAATAAAAGCAATTTGGTTCATTTTTTTTATTGTAACACCAGATATTATTTATCTTTCTTGTTGAAAAATGAAACTTTGCTTTCAGTGTAGATTGCATTATAGTTTCTCCAAAACTCTATAAACCACAAAGTGGCATATCTGGCATGTAATATGAAAATGAGAATTTAGTTCCATGTGTGCATCTCTTGACCTTCATGGGAATCATTTACTGGACTTAGAAAAGAGGAAAGGCCTTATTTGAATATATCCCTTTGAGTGAGGTGTTTTAATACCTAGTTGTGTTTTCACACGCTGCTGTCACATACATCAGGATATTTGTCATGGTATTACATTATAAAGCCACAGCCACTTCCCACCTTGCTAGATGTCGTCTCTGTTTCCATCTCCTCAAGTAACATGACATTTTGTAATATTTCCTCTTGAAAAAAATAAGGTGCTTCTCTTTCGTCTTTGAATGTCTCCTGTTTCTCCTTCTCATTTGTTTCTCTGTCTTCCAGACTATTGAGGCTAATTGGCGATGTGGCAGACACAACTTGCAGAGGATTCAGTGTCGCTCAGAAAACAGTAAAGGGGTTTACTGTCTCCAGTACGACGATGACAAGATCATCAGTGGCCTTAGGGACAATTCCATCAAGGTACGTGTGTTTTAAACTTTAGAACATCTAGACCAGCCTCATTTCATGTCTACTTAACTGCACTTTATTGAAGGTTGAAGCTGCGCTTGGAAGATGTCCGAAAATAGCTAAAACACCACTACAGTTTAAAAACTTAGTCCTCCACCTGCAGGGCTCCCTTCTCGGTCCTACGCCCCTCCCTCCACGCCAACATGGACATCCTTCAAACACACAGAAATAATCAAGCTAAAAGTCAACATTCCCTTTTGGCCTCCCACATGATTCAAACCCCACTCTCTTGAGTGAGAGTCCTCAGTTCACCCATTACACCACCCCATGCTATCCCCACATTGGACTTTGTTGCTTTTTCTACTCTTTCACCTCATCTGAGTAAAAGTTCTGTGACTAGCTGGAGTCTCCCAGTACAGGCAAGATTTCCTACAGTATGAAAACAAAGCCAAAAGGAGGTACAGATGTCAAGTTTCCTCTTAGACCACTTGAATTACAATATTCTGAAATATTATGATGGAATATTTGCCAAAAATATTGGCCAACAAATACGGTCCATCCCAGCCGTAATAGAAGAAGTGCTATTGCATTTGCTTTTGTTTGCGAAGCAGTGAACAGGCTTAGCTGGCATTTCTGCCTTTGCCATCACTCTGCATTGGTCCACATTTTCCATGCAGGTTTTATCAGTGATCACATAATCTTTTTACACATTCCATGGGGAGGATTGTTTCAACCTCTCAGAGCTGATTTCGTTGATCACAAGCCTGAGTCACTCTCAGTTTGTGCAAATAAAAGTGAAGCCAGTCTAAGGTTATTGTGGGCCAACCACACTACCACTTTATTGCTTTCTCAAATGTCAACATAGAAAAAATATTTTATGTTAAATTGCTAATGGCACTTTATAAAACATATCATTGATGATTCATAGCTGCAAAGACCAGTATCACTAAACTACTACTGGTAAAGGTCAGTATATACAATGTGCTGGACTTAAACTTTGTTACTTTCAAAACTTGCTGAATCAGTAAAATAAACTCTGGGCATGTATCAGTCTGTCATGCTGGCCCATACTGAATGGCAAATGTAGAAGTAATTAACATTGATCCCATTAGTGCGTTCTAAGTACCAGCAGCAGAGAGCCAAAAAATGCTGGCTGTGAGAAAGACATGCATGTTGTGTGTGTGTGTGAGGCTGTTTTCTTCCGACCTATGTTTGTGTATTTATGAATTGAATTTTTTTTTTCTTCTGGCTCAGTATGGCTTATCATCTTATTTTGTATGGCGCTGGGCTGAACCAGCAGAAACTGAGACGGAGCACAAGTGAATTATAGGATAAAAGGGCTCAGCTCCAGACTTGTTGTGTGTTCCACTTATCTGTCTGGCCTGGGAGAAGAGGAGAAGAAGAAGATGATGATGATGAAGAAAAGAAGGGGGGGGATAGAGGGAGGAGAAGAGCAGATTTGTCTTCTTATTGTTATAGAGGAGACTGACACACACCCAGGGAAGAGCTGAATGGCTGTTACGTACACAGGCAGCTCAGCACAGCAGTAGGGAAATGGGGCGTGAACAGTGAATGAGCACTGCTGTGAGAATAGGCCATTCTTAGCATGACCCAAATCTGCATCCTTTTGAAAACCACTTATTCTTCCACTTTGTTTGAGTTCTCCTCCGTCAAAATTTCTCATCTCCTTAATTCTCTCCCTCCTCCGTTTAGATCTGGGATAAGCAGTCTCTGGAGTGTCTGAAGATACTGACCGGTCACACAGGCTCAGTATTGTGTCTCCAGTATGATGAGAGGGTCATTGTCACCGGGTCTTCTGATTCAACTGTCAGGTACGACGCATATCTTGTTACAGAAGATTCTTATTGCATTTTGGAGTGCTGAACCAGCAAGATAAAAATGATTTAAATTTTGAAGCGTCTGGATTATGGTTTGTATGTCCTACACAACTAAGTTAGACTATGTTGAGTCAAATTTAGTGTCTCCTTTTTTTGCTACATCTCAGTTAGAATGCAGATAAAACCGTGGTAAACCTTATCACCATATTGGGTTGAAAATAAATATCCACAGATACCAAATGGACAGTCTTCAGAAATGGATAGCAATGCTGGAAATTCTCAAGCATTCAGGTTTTAAATATAATTAGTAAATCCTCTGTTTTTCTCAGGATATCTCTAAAAAGACAAGTAAACACTAACATCAGTGTTGATCAGTTTGAGTCACAAGTACAGGAGATGTTTATTTCATGTACAGAATCTAGAGCTTTGTTTTTAGGAAACAAATGGTTCAGTAACTGAAGGATGCACCTTAAGGTTGGAATCGGGTTTAATCAGAGAAGACAAAAAAACACGCCAAGTCATGCATATAAGCAGAAAATCAGTACACATGGTAATCATGCATGTTTTCACTGTAGGAGAAGTCATGGCTCATTTTAAACATTGTAAAAAAAAAAAACAAAGCGTAAAACTCTGAGTGAAGCTTGGTTCGTATTCCTGCACTGAATGCACACAGACTCTACGTCGTGGCCTGCGTTTACACTTGGGTGCTGGTGTGTCTGCGTCACTCTGCAATTACACCGCCAAAGTGCTAGTTAGCAGTGAGGTTTCTTTGCCTCTGTGCTGAGTTTCTCTATGTACTTCAAACAATGGCAGCTGAAGCTAGAGCGCAGTAAGTAAATGTTGAACAACCATTACCTTTACTGAAAGTGGTGCAACACACAAAAGAGGGAAGACCTTAGAACCATTTCAGTGTATACGCAGATTAGTGAAACTATGAAAACAGGAACATGGCATGTGGCGACACTGGACAAATACTTTCTATTGCATTTGCACTGTGAGCAAGCCAGATGGAATTACATCCTATTAGATATTTCATTTTATTTCACTTAAGCATTATCTGTATTGCTATGTGAACAGATTATTTCCGAGTGGGCCAGTCACCATTGTTGCAGTCTGTGTTGCTGTGATGTGTGACTACGTTACTGGGAAGGTGTACGTCAGGGTGCCACCTTACCATTGTGTAGGTTCACTGCAGAAGTATAAAAGTATAATTCAAGCTTTACATGCTGTTTCACTTCACTGAATTTAGCAGTAATAGACAATGGAGAACAATCTGGCTCTACTGTTTACGACTCTGTTTAAATGCATTCAATGACTCCCAGTAACAAGAGACGGAAGTTTTGATTGTAGTTGCAATATAAATGGAAATTATGCTTGAACAAATAACACGGCTGGTTATGAGATGATTTCACTTCCAGTCTCACTTTCACATCCAACAGGTGGGTATTTGTGAGGTGTTGGGACAGAAAATTTGACTTTAAAAAGTTCTAATTACACTTGAAAATAGGTGAGATTGATATTTTTTGAAAATAAAATCACTTAGAAGTAGGCTTAGTTAACCTTTTAAACAAATACTGATAAGGGACGCCAGATGACAATTTTTTTTAAAGCTAAATCTAGTATGATAAAAGTGAAGTTAAACAAGAGTAAAATAGAATGAATTGATACAGTAAAATGTATTAAACTACAGAGTGTACTGTCTACAGAGGATGAAGGAGACACTGGATGGCGCTGATGGCTGATCCAACAGGTTGAGGCAGTTGGAGTGCAAAAAACAAGTACAGAAAGCTTTGCTTGGTATTAAATGGTGCCGAAAGCCTTTGGGGGAAAAAATCAGATTCTTTGAGCAAATAAACATATCATCTCTGTCTTCCTCAGAGTCTACAGCTGACCAACTTTCTCAGCTGGGAAGTCAAAATCATGACTGTAATTGATTTTCATTTAATTTTGCAGCACTATTATCGTGTTAGCCATTGCAATTGAATATGGTACTTGATCTTCTTCACTGGGTCAGCTGGTGTCTCCCTCCCTGCACCTGCACTTTTTGTTACGAGGAGTATCTGAGTTGAGACGTCTTCCTCTCCATCAGCCTCCTTTTCTCCCTCCTCATTTCTTTTTTTTTTTTTTAAAACAATAAGCTACAGACCGCTTCATTATAGGAGCACAACAGCTAAATGGATTGTTTCATGTGTCAGGTAGGGAGGGACGCCAGTAATGAAGAAAAAGTACATCTACGGCTAATGCTGCTGCTCCCCACGCAGACAAGACGGGAACCAAAACAGCCTAAAGATTATTTTACACTTGGACAAATGTGACCACATGAAACGTTAAGTCGCTTACTCCAACAAATGGTTGCATGTGCGGCCATTTTGGTTGCAGTCAGAAGACTCACCAACAATAGCAAATTATATCAAAGGCGACTGTGAACTTGATGGAAAATATCTTGTGCAAAATGCATTTTAGTAGTAATTTGCAAAATGTGATCTAGAAAATATATTCTATCACTTGATTGCATCTACAAAATGCACCTTTCTAACGATATTGTGTCAAACTTATTATAGTCCAGATGCTTCAACTATGGGTGCACTTGTTATTTAGTCATCATTTCACATTATGAATGCTTGTAGCCAGTTTCACGACCAACAACAACGCCTGTTGTTTAGCCCCCAGTTTACAATCAGTTCCCACCTACTGGCATATATCTGATGAAATAAATGAATCAACACAGAACTTTATTTTTTCATTAAAAGTTAGGTTTGCTTTCATTACTGAAGATAGTGGGGAATGTTTTAGTGCAGATTTTTAAGGACCTGGCTTGTGTGTATACGTTGACACTTGCTTGGCTACTGCACACAGAAGCTCAACATTAATTCTCTTATTACTTCACACTTCAGGCGTACTCATTGGGCGGTATCCAAGGAAAATGTGACTTCACTTCCTTAGCAACAGCTTGACAGGCACTTTGTTTGTAGGTTTGGTTGTCAGCTTTTCCAGTGTGTTCTGCATTTGACTCTCAGTGCCCAGCGGTGCCATTCAGTAACATGTTCTTCACAGCCGCTCCTGTGTATGTGTGTGTTTGTGCACACGCACCCTCCTTGTGCACACGTGTGAAGTCGGAGTTCCTCTCCATTGTAGAACTAATAAACATAATTCCCTCTCATGTCTCTATTGTTTTCCTTTTTCCTTCGCTCCCATTACATTTCTTTTCCATCTCCTTCTTCTTTTTGACCACCTTTCCTGCTGCCCCCATCTCATTTTTCTTTCCTACTCACCCCTTCCTCCTATCATTTTCCACTTTTCTCACCCTTTTTGTCATTTCTTCCCCCTCTGTCTCGCACGCCTCCCTCAACATTCCTATTTTTCTTTCTTGCCTCATTCCATCTCTTCCGCTCTCTGTCACCTTTGCCCTCAACATTCGGCCTTGCTGACATCTCTCCTTGCTGCTGTTTTCTGTCCCTCCACTGTTTTTCCCCTCTGTCCTCCTCCTTCCTCTCCTCCTCCGCAGGGTCTGGGAGGTGACGACGGGTGAGGTACTGAACACACTGATCCACCACAATGAGGCTGTTCTTCACCTGCGTTTTGCAAATGGCCTGATGGTCACCTGCTCTAAGGACCGTTCGATTGCAGTTTGGGACATGGCTTCACCTACTGACATCAGCCTACGCCGCGTCCTCGTGGGACACCGGGCTGCTGTCAATGTGGTTGACTTTGATGACAAATACATCGTGTCCGCCTCAGGGGACCGCACCATCAAGGTGACGAGAGCTGATAAACAGATATCTACAGAAACCATTTTCTGCTGAATTGATATAGGATGGATTTTTTTTTTTTACTTATTTTTTTATCAAATGTAGTTTGGAACAGTTTTTAGATAGTTCAGCAGAGTAGACGGTGTTTCTTAGTTGTTCACTCTCCTTTTTATTTCAGCCATTTATGAATACAAACCCACTGACTAAAAGTCTGCCTTTGTAAATGCTGGGCATTTTGTTTTAAAGCTTTCCGTTTCTCCCTTCTTCAGGTATGGAGCACCAGCACCTGTGAGTTTGTGCGCACTCTAAATGGTCATAAGCGGGGAATTGCCTGTCTACAGTACAGAGATCGTCTTGTAGTCAGCGGCTCGTCTGACAACACAATCCGGTATGTTTGTGACACTACAGCACAAATGCCAAAATCGGCGTATTTGAATTGCCAAGTTTTCTGTTCAAGAGCTGTTAACTGTCCATTATAGATTATATATTCTAACATTTTCATGAATTTGAACCATTTTAACATCAATATGGCTTTCAAGTAGACATCGATAAGTTCAAAAGTAAAGATATATTCTATGATTAAATACGTAGTTAGAAAGAATAATCCTGCTTGGAAGCTTCTTTGTTTAAAACAATATTTGAGCACTGATTGCTGTGTAAATATTGAAGGGTGTGTTTATCGCTGTTTGTTTACGAAGGCTTCTCTTTCTGCAGGTTATGGGACATAGAGTGCGGCGCATGTTTGCGAGTGCTGGAAGGTCACGAGGAGTTGGTGCGCTGTATTCGCTTTGACAACAAAAGGATTGTCAGCGGCGCCTACGACGGGTGAGTCTTGTAAACACACGGAGTTTTGCGCACAGACTGGGTTTGTTTATCTGACATTTTGTCATGCCATGTTTCCCTCTGCAGTAAGATAAAGGTGTGGGACCTGCAGGCAGCCCTGGACCCACGAGCCCCCGCCAGCACATTATGTCTGCGCACTCTAGTGGTGAGTAGCATTGAGTTCACAACCTAAAAACAATAATCAGTATCTAATTTCACCTCTTTTAATGCGTGTCTAAGGAGATCATTAAAGAGATGACTACACAGATGCTAGTTTGTGGGTTCACAAAACACTAACAATGGAACATCACTGTTTGCAATTTGATCTACACAAATATTTTAAAAGTGGAAAAATAAAAGCTATTTGGAGCAACTATTTACAGGAGACACTGGTGACATCAGTGATGTAGCTGTATGCATGTTGCATGTTTACATTATTTCCTGATTTGTTGTGTTTTTAGGAGCACTCTGGCCGCGTGTTCCGCCTGCAGTTCGATGAGTTTCAGATCATCAGCAGTTCTCACGACGACACCATTCTGATCTGGGACTTCCTGAACGTCTCAACCAACGGCCAGTCAGAGGGACGGTCTCCTTCCCGCACCTACACGTACATCTCTAGATAGCAGGTACCCAGACACACTTCATGGTGAAAGCCTTTCTGTAAAAATGCGTCACTCTGCTTTACACATGCAGGTGTTTATAATCAAGAGTACCGTGTTGTTTTACTTGTGTGTTTGATTGCAGATTCCTTTGCTCTCCCCACAGGTGGCGCCATCAACCGCACCCTTTCTTGGAGGAACCCAGGGCTGATTGGCTGATGGGTGCATCCGTCATGGAAAGGAGCCCATCTCTCCTCCTTCCTCCTCGTCATCTCTCTGTCCATCTCCCACCCAGCCCCTCACCAACCTCCTGCTCCCTTCCCGTTCTGATAGACTCTAAGCTTGTGCCCGTTGCCTGCCAGTTCAGTGACATACACACACAGGTCAACACTGATGAGGACTCCCTACTACAGAACCAATGCAATCTCCCAAGAAGTTCACCTTCCACTACTAATTTATGTTTTGTAAAGTACACTGATGACAGTATTAACTTAGACCTTATATAAGTCACAAGCTCCCCTTTGTCCCCCTTGAATCAAACTTAAAGCAGCTTCTGCTCCCCAGTTTTCAACCCCTGCCAAAACAGGTTTCCACAGATATGGAATCGCTTATAGATATATATTTATATATATTACACAGACACACACACACATACACACACACAGTGGCACAGTTGGACAGAGGATGACCGGAGCTGTGATGCGGGAGACAGAGACTCTTTACTCAGCTCTAGGAAAGAAGGGAAGGATGGGAGACGGAGGGAGTGAATGAGGGAGAAATGTGTTGGGGATGACTTTAGAGCTCCCTCTCACTCCCTCTCACTCCTCCCTGCCTCTCTCTCTCCACCCCCCCACCCCCTTCGCTCCCTTCCCCAACCCCCCCCAGAGATGCACACTCGCTTGGAATATGGGGGCGCACGCACACTCAAGTTTGTGTGAGTGTGTGTTTGTGTATGTGGACTTGTGAAACGGCAGAACAGAGCAGAAGCGTCAGACAGACATGCATGTGAGGTTGCCATGGATACAGCATCCTGGTACACCTCTGCTTTTTTTTTCTCTTTAACTCTTACTTTCTTACTGTTTTTTATTACTGTTATTTTCTAATTTTATTTGAGTATTTTGGTTCTTAGTACAAAAATCATACTAAGCGTAGTCCTCTTTCTCTTTCCCCCTCTCTCTCTCTCTATCTCTCTCTCTCTCTCTCTCTCTCTCTTACTGTCTTTTTCCTCATTCTTTCTTCTAACTTTGACCCTTGTTCATCTGTCCCTTTCACACCATCTTTCTCTCCCACATCATCTACGTGCTTGCTTTGGTTATGAGAGAAGCTGGAATTCAAGAGCTCAAATTTAGCTGTAAACGGAGTTGTCTTGTCAAAATTGTGTTGTATATTAAAAATGATTTTTTAAAGAAGAAAATGACCTTATTGTGAATAAAGTACTTGACAGTGGTGGAGTGTTGAGCCAACTGTAACATGAATGAGTGTCTAATTGTCTACCTGTTCTTGTCTGTGTGTGTATGTGTGGGTGGATTTGTGTTACGCCGCCTCTCCATCTGACAGGCAGATACAACACTCAGGAGGCCGTCAGTTTATTTTCTTTGTACTCGACACAAACAGCAGGGTGACTGTGCCGCAGACAACAAAGAATTTTGAAAACTCAGTTGTTTGACAAAAAAAAAAAGAGTCTTAAAATGCAATTGCAGTCATTGATTTCTGATTAAACTGAGGGAGCAGATGTAAAGAACTGAGGAGTTGTGGTGTCCTCAAGGTTTAGAGGTCTGCATCTGATAATATGCTAAGAATGTAACTCAGCCTGCAGACACTGGCTGCGTGTAGATGATCATCCATATGGATAGCAGATTTGATAGGCTGTTGTTTTTGTTCCCACATATTTTTATTTTTTTAAGGTGTAGTCCACAACTTGAGCTGATGAGCGTTATAGCAGCTTGTCATCTCCTGAAAATAAACGTAAATGTGTGTGCACAAAAAATGAAGAAAGAAACCCATTAAATGTCCTGTATCTTACTTTCAGTTAATTTTATTCAAAATCCGAACAGTTCTGCTAACTACGGATTACTTGTACTCATTTTATGTTGCATTCCTTAGGTCTTCAGGAAGTGAGCACAAGTGACTGTCAGTATTTGTTTTCCATCTGCTAAGTCATAGTATGAAAGTCAACTTTGTTTCCTTTGTGGCCAAATTTCATGTGATACAAATTCACTGTCAAGAGGTTTGACCCTATCCACAAGACATACCAGTGAGCAAAAACTTAATTTCATATCTGCAAGCTTGAAAAATGTTGTTGTGTTCATTTAAGGACTTGCATGTTGGTGAAACTATTGTGTGATGACATTGTCAGTGTGTTGCATACGGCCACCAGGTGGGAGTATAAACTCACCTTTCTCCTACAGGGTAATATGTTTATGAGACTTTGGCTCTGACTGTTGGTGAGCCAAGTTTGGAGTCTAAACAACCTGTTACAGTAGATCACATACCCAGTCTTGTAAACACTGTAACTGTGAAGGAGGGATGTATATTTGAAATGTTTAAAGTGGTGCATTTATAGCAGAGTTGTGTGTAGTGCAGCTGAGTTTTATAATACATTTGTCCAGTTATTGTGCAGTATGTATCCTCCAGGAGAAGGAGGGGAGGTGGCCTGCTGAGGGGGTTGGTTTTTCTACATTTCTGGGTTTAGTTCAGTATAGTAGAATGTTTCAAATTCTGGGAACAAGTTATGTGGGATGGATTTGTGCTTGGTGGAGCACCATTAATATATGATGTGTGTATGTGTTGGATATGGGTGTGTGTGCTTCCTCTGGGTCTGTGGGATTTTGGCCCATAATTCCTGCAGCTCTCAGGTCACAGCTCCGTTCTCACGCACATATTTGGCATTCCTTCCCCGACATGATTACCATACACCTTCCACTCTGGGTTTGGCTACGCAGAATATTTCCATCATTCCCGAGTGGAACTGGAGCAACGTTCCAGAAATGAACAACTCACCCCACCGCTGCCGCCCCCCTACTCGCTCTTCTTTATCCCACCCCCACGCCCAGTTTCCCTCCCACCCCACTGTCTCCTCCTTATACCACCCCCCCTCTAGCGCAGATTCCTGCTCCCTTGCAATAGGAATCCTCTGGTACAACCCTTTTTCCCCCTGAGTCAGCTGTTTGTGTCTGCCGACATGATTGGGTCATTTGGCAGTGACATCTCTTCAGTGACCTCCCGCTAGGATGGGGAAGGAAGGGGAGGGATGGGGGGGATAAGAGCAGGATAGATGAGAGGAGCAGCAACTATGAAACTCTACCTCACTACTGCATGTTCCACTTCCATTGCTCCCTCTGACCCTTCATCCTGTATATTAATGGTAACACTTGACAGTGTGGAGATGGCAGTTGGTTTCTGCACAACAAGTGATGCTCAGCAGTTTTTAAAGCAGTCTCCAGGGGTTTCTATGTGAGGCTGGTAAATCTTAGATATACATTTCCCAGTCAGTTCAACATGTCAGCTACACCAAATTCAGCCCAAATGGAAAGCTATGAAAACTTGAAAGTGTGCTCCACTGTGGCCTTTTAGCGTGTGTCTCTATTAGAAGTCTGCTGGAAAAAGGACTTTTCCCAGTTCATACAATGAGTTTTCGGATTTCATAACTTCATAGTTACTCCAATACCTGACTGGAGAAAGCGCGTCAACTTCTTAACATTCTTCTATTGACCCAGGAAACATTTTGAAATCAATCATCCAGTTATCTTGTAATTTTGAAGCAATCTTCTCAAAGTAATCTTCATTAGTGATTAATCTCTCACAAATTTGTCTATAAAATGCAAAAACATAGAGAAGAATGCCATTTAGGACTGGGCAATATGAACGAACTCTATTGAGGTAGACCATAAATTATTTTCAAAATATTTTTTAGATGTGATACAGAAAACCTTAACTTTATACGATAAAACAACCTATCTGGTGAATTAAATGCTTAAAAAATACGGTACTTTGATGGAAAAATCCTGCTAACTTGACATTGCCATAAGTGAGTCATGCTCCTTGCCCACAATGATTTAATACAACCAGAAGTAATAAAGGGCGAGTATGGAACAGTGTGTGATGGTTGCCAAAAATGTATACTATATCATAATATCATGTCATATATCAACGTATTGCCCAAACCTAATGTCTGTAACGTTTCCCAGACTCCAAAGTGATATCCTGCGATTGAGTTTTTTTTGTTGTTGTTGTTCTTTTTGTTTTTGTTTTTTTGCTTTTCCAACAGTCTAAAAACCAAAAGACCTTAAATTCAGAATGATATAAAGCAGAGAAACCATCAAACCCTCATATTACAGCAGCCGACACCAGCAGATGTTTGGCATTTGGCTCAATAAATTACCGAAATGATTAATCAATTACTGAAACGATTGCCTATTAGCATTTTGTCAGTGAACCTACCGAGCAGCCGACCACATCTGAAGCATCTGTACACTTGAATCTCTTTCTACATTAAATTCGTGAACAGAAAAGATCAGGTGAAGAAGCAGTTCAAAGAGTCAGGGAGACACAGGAAATGTTTCTGTAAGGTTTACTGAGTCGAGAAAGACTGCTGCACACAGAGCTGAAATAAATAAATGAAATAATTTTATCGTAATAATTATAGTAACCATCATAGTAAGATTGCTTATTTAGGGTTTCTGTCTTCTTTTATATATATAATATATATATATATATATATTTATAACTTTCAATAAATTGTTCCCTTTAATATTTTTTCTCCTGTGTGTATGCATGAGACTTTGGTTTGTTCCACTGAATGTCCTGGTAGCAGCACTCTGTATCCACGGTATCGCACAGGAGCATCATCCCCTGGGTCGTTTCTATAGCAATGCTAATAGAGAAGGCACCCTCCCCGCCGGGCTCACTCCCGCACTCATCACCCTCTGCACCTGAAGGCTGAGGGTGTAGTGTCCTCGGGGGGGTGGGGGGGCAGGGCATGAGGAGGAGTCATGAAGAAGGTCTCCAGTTGTCTTTGGTTGGTCGTCGGTTTGGTTTGCTGTGATTGGCTGGCTGTTTTTGGTGCAGCTTGGTTTTTATACATTCCAGTTCCTAAAGCTTCAGTCCCTGCGGTGAGTTGTCACGGGTTCATGCAGGGACTGTATGGTCCCTTTCCAGAGTCCCTCGTGATCCAGCTTCACTCATGGTTGTTGCACTCACTCGTACAAACACATACTCTAGCATACATTTCCTGGTCGTCTTCCTCTTACAAACATGCATTTACTCGTTAAGCCACTCGCTCCGGCGTTCCCTCATTCATCCTGTAGTCATCCACCCTGCCATTCATCCACAGTCTCACAGGTTCCCACCAATTTAGCAGTGAGACGAATAAGTGCGTCACATGTCAACAGTCCATTATTGGTCCATTTGATCTGTGCAGATCACTTTATCCCTTTGTCCAGTCCACCATTTTCCTGTCCTCTCCTTCCTGCTTTCCCTTTATCCATAGGCTAAGCACCCACTCTCTTGTTCAGTCAGTCTTTCCCACCTTTGTTCTCTCTGTATGGTCCAGTTGTAATCCCATACTTGACATCGTCCACCTGGTCCACAACAGGAGACACGAAGGCCTTGTGGTTTTTGTGGTTGTGGAATAAAGGCCTCTCTAGAGCCTGGGACTCTGGCTGCCCTTCAGGTTCTCTTGTCAGTCTTTCTGGCCTATGAAGGGAAGCAGACCAGGTCCAAAGAGCTTCCAGCATCGGGCCAGTTATCGTCCAGTTGGTCCAGTGAGGGAATTAAAACTGAGAGGAATGATCACTAACTAGGGGCTGTAGTGGCAAATTAGGAGGTGTAAAGCTAAACCCCATGAATGATTCATCAACTTTCTGGTCAATGTTTGTCCCAACAAAGAGAGGTGTTCAATCGTGTGCGACAGAAGAGATGACTAGGTTAGCCATTGGCAGGCTCAGGTCAAGGCTTCGGATGACAAGACAGTGGGTGCTAGCGTTAGCCACTACTAGCGGGGCCCAGTAGCGCGCACCCTCTTGCCCCGCTTGCTGACGGTGGTGAAGCGGAAGGGGGTGGTGAAGTCAGGCTGCTCCCCAGGCGGGAAGCGTTTCATGAAGTGTACATCCTGCTGGTTGGGGAGCGTGTGGGGGCCACGGCGAGGACGCCCTCTTTTAGTAAAGCCAACATACCAGCCCGTGTAGCGCGCTGACATCAGAGCTGTGTAGTGGTTTTCCAGAACCTTTTCCACAAAGACGCAGTCGGCGCTTCGATTACTGGCCTTCTGAGAGAGCAGAGAAACCACAGGTATATACACACACACACACACACACACACAGAGAGGGACAAAGAGAGGCTGGTCAGGAAACTTTACGACAATAAGATATTTTTGACTAACAGACCTCTAAAAGAAAGAAGTCTCACCTTTCCTACCAGCTTGCCACGGCGGTTCATGCACAGGTAGAAATTGGTTTCTTTGCCCCGGATTCTCACC